CGTTTCTTGTTGGAGCTGTTCCCTCTGTGCTCACCGAGTCTCTCGCACGTCCCTGTAGTCTCTCCCTTGAGAGGCCTGGTCTCTCCCCTGACGCAATCAGTTACAGGATTGGGTAGAGAATATTCAAGTCTTGATTGATGTGTTCAAATTGTCTTAATACTAACAACTACCTGTTGTTGTCACTGGTGCTCATAGCCTGCACCTCTCAAAAATTCTCATTCTCTTTTCAGTGGTGTTTTCACACTGATTAACAGGTGGTTTGTGCTAAGTTAACCTCTATTTTTATAACCAAATTCCATGTAGGCACAGCCTATGCCAACTACCACACTGGGCCAAAACAGGATAACCTTTGGTCACAAGCAGGTAATTTTGTCACTGTGATCATGCAGCATGTTTGCTCTATTTAGAAATTTTACTACAGCTGACCTTGCTATTTTTCTATATTGATTTTTTTGTGTGTCAGTCTAAGTCAAATTTCCTTCTATAGTATAGTCACTGGCCTTCTGGATAGAGGAAATAGCACAGATATCCTAGTTCTTGATTTTAGTACAGATTTTTACACCTTTGTAAGCTCGGGAAACACTATTTAGATGCCACCAATTTATGAAAGGCTGCAACTGTGCTTGAAAATAGCAGTAATTTAGACTAATAAAATCAAATTAAAGAAGTAGTTGGAAAAGTATAGGAAGTCATCCAGCAAGGAAAAGAGCAATGTTTTGCATTTAGGAAAATCAATTTAAAATCATTCCTTGTATCATCATAAAATCGAAAACAATTGGTTACATTAAACATCTGGAAGTTATAGTGGATAACAGGCTAAATGTGAGTTTCATTGTACCAAAAAAAAGAAAAAACTACTAGAAGTTTTTTTCTCCAATTGCTTTGTAGGTAGGGCAATACATAATGGAATTAAAGTACAGCAACATAAATTTAGATTTCATAATAGGGTGGCTAAGTAAGTACAAAGTATAGAACCTCTTCCTTAGAGTTTTTTTTTGAGAGAACAGATTTGATAAACATGAGCTATCTCATAAGTAAATCTCCTTTTAGATTTCCTCTCAAGATTTTTAAAAATTTATTTCTTCAGCGGTAACTTTCTATGGAGCAATGGTAAATGGTTTTGCAGACTGATTCACATATTCAGGCAACAATCTCATGTGTATAGCTAAAACCATGATCAGTATTGCAAGCATTCATCATTATATGTTACCTGAATGCTTGGGGATGTTTGTGGTACTTTTTCCTTATCAACTGCTATTCAATGTGAAATTGAATATACACAAGTAAAACATGAAGAAATGCTCTACTGGACCTCATTAATTTTCACAGAACAATGGAGGAAAGCAAAGATCTGCTGCTTATCACTGGTGTGATACCAAGGACCTCAACATTGCCTTAGTTTTTAAATAAACTGGAGGCCAAGTTTAACTGAAGAGCATAAGAGAAACAACATCTCTGGGTCAATCTAGAATTTTTCCTCCCCTTGATACAGGGAGACAATCCTTTTGAGCTCCACAGACATTACAGTAGTTCTGGGACATTTACAGAACGTATATATAAAGGCTTAACGTCATTTCAGCCAAATAATTTTTTAAAGTACATGTTCTTACTTAAACTCAAGATGATGTAATACTTGATGTATTACAGATGTACCCATCTGTAATACGTCATAGAACTGCAGCTTCTGTCTCTTTGCTGCAAGGATTCTGCTCCAGTGATCTCTGTCTATTATCCACATTTAAATCGGTTCAAATGGGCTATGGAATGCATCCTAGACTGGTAGGATGGCACTAGTAAGGATATTTAATGATATAAGGAAAGAGGTGCTTCTAAAAATATTTTGGTTCAATGGTATGATGCATATTTAAACACCTTTTCAAATGCTGTTTTTTCCTTTTTCTTTGATAACAAAGAAAGCATACATTAGGCAAAAAGGATAAGCTGAACTCAGGGAAAACTCTGCTAAATTTGAGGGGACTGTTTTTTCTTCTTTCACTATTGAGCAGCCTCCTTCATTGAACTATGTCTCTTTTTTCTTTTTTTTTTTTCCCCTTGTCAAAATCAGTTACAGACAGGTTTGATCACAAAGGTGAACAAAGGAGAAAGTTTCAGAGATGACCAGAGCTCATATCCGAGTCTATCATTGAGATATAGAATAGAAGAATTTACTTTCAGATCTTTATACTGTTGTTTGCAGATATAACATCAGTAATCCAGATGTTTCCTCCTATCCAGCTCCTGTAACATTCTGAGCTTAAAGGTGGAAAAGGAGAAAAGAAAGATGCCTGAGTCTGAACTATGAAAAGAGAAAGTACAGCGATGTGGCTGTATCACAGGAGATTTCACTACTCTGACCGCATGTGTTTATAAAAGTTCTTATGTCACTTGTATAGATACTCTTGTTTTTTTCTTAAGCAGTACATTTGGTCAGACTCTAAAGTATGATTAACTTGAAGAGGTCTGAAAATTGACAATTCAGACATGATTTAGCCAATACTACTGTGTTCTCTGTTACAGGGTTCAACATTAACATGTCTTTTATCATGTAATCATGTAAGTAGTTGACTATGATTCTATGATTAAAATGTAAGCAATGCAGTGGCTGTTCACCTTGAACAGTAGTAGTTCCTTATGCTCTAACATCAGCAGATTTTGATTACTCTCTAGAGGTGTATACAATGTAGTTGGATTGGAAGAACATTTTTATAATGCCTTAATGTTTACCTCTAGTTTGTGTGTGTTATCTTAGACAGTCATGATGTTAATACACATGGTAGAGGAGCCAGCAAAAGGAAATGGACCTCATACTTACAGATAAGGAAGAACTACTTAGGGTTATAAAGGTCAGGGCAACCTTGGCTGAGTGACCATGAGATGGTAGAGGCAAGGAGCCTATGAGGAGACAGCAAGGCAAAAAGCAGGAGCACAACCCTGGACGTCAGGAGAGCAGACATCAGCCTGTTCAGGGATGTGCTTGGAGGAATCCCATAGGGGAGACCACGCTGGAAAGAAAAGGGATCTAAGAGAGCTGGTTAATTTTCAAGGATCACCTCCTTTATGCTCAAGAATGGTCCATCACAATGAATAGGAAATCACAGGCAGCCAGAGACCTGTATTAATGAACAAGTTGCTCCTGACAGAACTCAAATAAAAAGGAAAAAAGGTGGAAGCAAGGTGGCAGGTGACCCAGAAAGAACAGAGTGACACCATTTGAATCTGCAGGATTAGGAAAGCCAAAGCCCACCTGGAATTGAATCTCGTGAAGGACATGAAAGGACAGCAAGCAGGGCTTCTACAGGGCTTCAGGGCTATATCAGAAGCAGAAGGAAAAGTAGGGAAAATATGGGCCTTCTGCTGAGTGGGCACGGGACCTGGTGAAAACAGAAATGGAAGAGGTGGATATACTGAATGTCTCCTTTGCTACTGTCTTTGCCAGTACTACTTCCCTTCAGGAATCCCAGATCCCTGAAATCAGTTTACAAAACTAGTACTTCAGTAATGAATCACTGAATCTATGAGACACGTAGATGTTGTAGCTTGACCATTATCCCTATTCTAATGAATTGGACACCTGTTGGAAACTTTGGTCTCTATGTGTGATCCTGTGCATGTATGAATATTTGTGTTGCATATAATTATAATGCATGTGTGTATATTTTATAGTACCATGTCCTGTGGTTAATCACAAGGAGAGGATATTTTAAGTTACTTAAAGATTTTAAAGGCCGTTTTAGAGGCTGTTTATGTTAAGGAGTATAAAATACTCAGCTATAAGCTGACTATGAATAAATTTAGGATAAAAATAAAAAGAAAGCTGTATTATATACAGAAGAATACCGAGGAGCTTTGAAAAAGCTTTTTAATACACAAGAAAGGTAGCTGAGTTTATGATAGACTATATTAACATTAGGCATATGATTATAGAGCATGGGTTCCCTTCGGGAACAGGGGCTGACCTATATACTATAGGAGATCCAGCATACTTTTTCCTAGTATGAAACAGTGACTGTGTGTTGCATGTTTTTCATCATAGTTTATACACTTTAATTTCTGAATTAAGTATTTCACAGCAGGAATTATCTACTAAACTGAAAGCCATTTTTCATAGTTTTACATTTCTATTTTATATTCTTTGCTTAAGGATTTTAATCACTGTTTTATGTAAGTATAGTGCATATATAACAATAAAAAGATTGCTAGGTGAGACTGAAAAACTGTCAAGAAGTAAGTAGTAGAATATAATGTAGAAAAAACAACTAGCAGGATTTGTACAAGCACTTTAGAATCTATGAGACATAAACTGGATGAAGTCCAGGTTGGACTAGGACTGTTATTTTAGGGAGGTACTTGCAGACATGAAAAATGTCTGGAGAAATAAAAAAAATATTATTAATTGTTCCATACATTTTTACAACTTGTTGTAAATTTTAAATGATATTGTAATTAATTGAAATTGAACTGAGAATTGAAATAAGTGTCAAATTTTGCACTTTAATCCAGTGGAACCTATATGCCAGTTAAAGATATATAAAAGGATGAAGTTGAAAATAGTGACTTAAACTTAAGAAAAATTATGATTTTTGTTTTCTGTGTATCTGCTCATTCCAAAGGATGACCACACTTCCATGAGATATCATTTACCTTGTTAAACTGTGCAGAGATTTAGTTTTCCTGTCTGACTAAATCCAATCCTAAATAGCTTTTATTCTGTAAATAACTATCATAGCTAAATAAACAAACATATTATTTCTGCAAAGTTTAACTAATTGTTAAAACAAAAGTTGTATTTTCTTTTACAGACACAAAATATGTGGCAAGATCAAACACCACTGCCATTCCCAAACATCATACTTGGGTTTCAGATTACTGTCAGCTATTCTGGTTTCATATTTGTGATATTTGATATTTGCATCATAGCTTTTTTTCCAAGATAACGAGCATAATTACTGTAGAGATGCAGGCATAATTATGATAACCTTGGTTTTAATTTTTCTTGGTAGGATTTTGGAGATGATGGGTCCTTGTACATTACTAAGGTTACCACAACTCATATGGGAAATTACACCTGCTATGCTGATGGCTACGATAAGCTCTATCAAACTCATATTCTCCAAGTGAATGGTAAGGAAAAATGTTCTAACTACCAAGTCAATGACTTGCATTTGGATTTTGTTCAGCAGATCAGTTGTTGCTGTTTTATTTTTTTGATATTGTTACAGCTTAATAGAAAAAGAGATACAGGTATTTTTCCATATTGTTCTCCTAGAAATAATCTTGCAAAAAATAAAATATAGTAATTGTCATTTATTACTTCCATATGAATAATAATTATTAAAAGGAGTAAAGATAATACAGAGGACTTGCTTTGCACTGTGAACTGTTCACCTGTGTGCACGTTTAGCATGTTATCTGCACAATAATAAGTGTTTTTAATATATACATATATATAGATAGATAAAGTAGTTTTTAGTATTAATTTAGTAATTGTGGAGAGCACACTAGGAAAAGTAAGTGCATAGGTCTGTTGTGTTAAGAAAGTTGCATTCAATACAAGATTAAAAAAATGCAATACCCTAAAAGTTTTAGGCTTCTAAATTCACATTTATTATTTTGAAATCTAACCATGTTTTTAGTAGATTAACTCTAGGCATCTGGATTTGAAATCTTGATCTTTACATTTTCCTACATCTGTTCAAGTTCTAAGGATCACTTTCCTGAACTCTGTACTTGGGCAAAATTTAGCTGCAATTGTTATTGGTGCCCTGAAGACATGTCTTTCCCTCCTCTTGAACCACAGTACCCTCTCCTAGCAATTTTTCCTATATGAATTTTTTTTTATTATTATTTTAAGCAATTCTTCTCCTCCACTGACAAAGGGTCCAAGGGTCTCACTGTACGTTATCCCCAGTGAGGCTTAATAATTTTTTTTTTTTAAGTGACCTTGTGCTTTCCTGTTATTTCAGTGCTCATAATTGATCTTTGACTCTTAAGTCTGCCTTTCCGCATTGAACTGCCAGTATTTGTGATTCCACATTGATACAGAATCCTAAACCAGAATCATGTTTGAACTCAGTTTTCTGCAAATTTACTTTGCATTAACAGGCTCTAACTTTCTCCTGCAGTATATTCTAGACATAGCTTCTAGGCCACTGCTGTTGCCATCATTCTTTGTTTTGTCAATTGTCAGTTGCATAAACTGTTATTATACTGGATTTTTCTTGACATCTCTTATCCAAAAATGCTGAAATATTTTCTGATATTCATATCTTTCATTAATATTCACCCCAAATGCAACTTCCAAGATTATTCGACATGTGTTTTAATATGATTCATTGTTCTTTTAATAGCCTTTTTTTCCCACTTTCTATTGTTAATATCCTTCACAATTTAAATGACATTGATGTTTGGTGCTTGTTTGCAGTTTTCTTAACATGTTTTCTCTGCCATTACGTTCCTCCAGGAAACTGGCTTAGAATATTTATTTATCCGTCCCTCTTAATTTTATTTTTTTTCTAATTTCTTCCCCCACTTCCCCAACACTTTGTAAATGGAGTGTCTTCCCTGAGCTAATACATGGCATCACCACCTTTTCCTCCTTCAAATTTTTCTTCAAGAATTCTTTTCTGTCATTTAAAAAGTCAGGCAGCAAATACTGGATAAACTAGTGAGAAGACTGAAGTGCAGTTTGCTTGTGTTTTTATTCCTGGAGACAGAGTAGAATTATTGGTGAGTTGGGCACATTAGAAGGTCCTTGACCAACTTTCTCCTCCTGTTTCATGTGTTCTGGTTTACCCTAATTTATTAACAAAATTATATTTTTGTCAACGCATTCCCTACTTATTCAAATGTGTTAATAATCCTGAAGAGGTACATTGCAACAGTTAAAATACTAGGATTCTTCGTGTTTGGCTCAGTTCAGCACACAATGAGGCAAAAATCCACTTCAGTTGAAGAAGGTTTTCTGCAAGACTAGAAAATCAAGAAATACAGCTTGGGGTAGTAGGTGAAGGAGGACAACTGTAGATTTTTCTGGTGACGCAGTGTCTGTCAGGAAGTTGTATATTTCACCTGGAAACCACTGTAAACCTTCATGGTGCCAAAGGCAATCACTGCTGTTGCTGCTCTGTATCATTCATATAAATTTAAAGTTGTCCAAACAAATTGATCAGTCCATGTTTGCTCTACTCACATAGCTACTGTTCCACAAGCTGGCACTGGAGTGGTACCGTCCAACACCATTTTGGATGTAATTTTTTGGGGAAGTGAGGGAAAGGAAAAAGGAGTCCCTTTGAGCAATAAGTCATTTGCTGTGCATATTGTTGATAAATGGAGTTAAAACCATTGAGATTAAAGGTCAAATGAAGAGCTCTTCCACAGTTTAGATCTGTACTTCTAAGCAGCAATCTTCCTAAGCACAGGCATGATGGTCAGTTCTCGTAGCTGTGATAATGACTAATTAATATAATGATACTTGTATTAAACAGGAGAGTCAGACAAAAGGTTAAAGAGATAATGAGGCTCTGTTGATCACAAAGATCTAATGAGAATTTTCAATGAAAACAATGTAATTAGATTTTTAAATTCTTTCTTGATTTCCATTTGTGCAAATCTATACATTTTTAGAAAAAAACTATATATTTTACGTTGACTAGTTTGCAAATATATATATATAAAATTTTGGTTTCTTTTTCTTTTAGATGAAAATCTTTAGGAAATTTTTAAATTTTGAATTGCAAGGTACAGTACGAAAGAATAATGAGCTTCCTTTGGTGTCTTAACAATACAGATAATCAGCACTGTAAAAGACATGTTTTATAGTGAGAAAATTCAGTCCAATCTTACACAAATAATATCGTAAAGTAAATATTTTAAGCAATATTATAACAAGTTGGTATTTAACCCTTTTTCATATAAACTAAAAAAACAAACCCAAAATACAACTTTGTAATGGTGTGGGAGTAACCATTTTATTAAATAATGCTAATTATTAGCATTTACATAATACTTAAAACTTTCAGAAGCATATAATTTTGTGACTGTTTGATTCTGAGACTATATGTGTCTGAGTCTGTCAGTTTGATTTTTATTTTTTTTCTTCATATATCTGTGATATTGAAATTCATTCCATTAGGTATTTTTCCTTTACTGTTGTTGACATCACATGTCACAAACCCCATGAATTAGAAAGTCTGTTCTCAGATAATGATAGGTATATGTGATGGTCTTAGCTATGTAATTCAGTCTCCCATAAAATATTTATAATATCAACTCAATATTTTGTTCATTAAAATCTGTCCTGAAGTAATTTGTATTTCAGAAGGATTTGTGTCATTTCCCTTATGCTTGTTTATTAACCTCTGCTTTTTTTCCACAGCAGCCATTCAAAACTTTATAGGGGAATATTGGTAGAGTTTTTTCAAAGTAGTAAATTTGTAAGAAACTCAGATATTCTTGTAATATGGGTTGTTGTATTTGATAGGGGGCCACCTGTCTCTAAAATGCCCTTTGATAGTATTAATATATTCAGTTAGCCACTTCATACGTTAATATTCAGCTATTTAAGACAACAAAGGTGTATACATCAGTTAAGTGAAAAAACAAAATTTGAATAATAAACCAAGAATTTTTCTTTATGTTTATGTTGTTGCTTATGTTCATTGAAGTGTTAAAAGAGTGTTATTAAAAATGATTACTCTTTCTTGTTATTACTGTTCTTAGGATTACATGAATGTGCTATCTACATCTGACACAAAAAAAAGTCTTGAAAAATGTTATTTAAAAAGCTGAAATATTTAGAAAGTTTGCATTTTACTCATTAGCTCAATATTTATCAAGTTACAGATCTGTGCTGTGCATAACCAGAGGTGTTGATATTCTTGATCACGATGGCAGTTATAAATATGATACCTAGATGAGTTTAAATATTATTTTCTTGTAACTCAGTTTATCTTTTTTACAAGCATATACATGTAATAGCCTAGATTTTTCAAATCTAAACTTGAGGAATTTAACTTTTGGAAAGGTGTTTCTAGACAATAAACAAAATGTTTTTAGCTGTATTATAAACAAAAAGACTACCTTCAAGTCCAAACCTCTCTAAAAACTTTATGAATTTATGGTGTATGTCACAAATCAACTTGATTTTTATTAATGCATTTACTCACTAACACAATGTTTATCAAGTTATGATAAACCAGAGGTGTTGATATTCTTGTATATGTTATATGAAATATATGTTGCATATACGATATATATGTAACACCAATGTGACATTTTTCTTTCTGTTTATGTATTAACATTGTTATCCTACTTCCTGAATTTCACATTGATTTACAAGGCAAGTTTTTTGCAGAGAGGTGACAAGAATTATCCCTATCTTAGTTCCAAGACAAAAAGCCTATTAAAAAAACTGAAAAGTTTTGGTACTGTAAGATAAAGAAAAGAGAGTCCAGACCCTCTGCCAGATATAAATCGGTGATTTATACCATCTGAAGAATTGTTTACCAAAAAGGAGCGTTATCATACAGAGCAATGTAAGAACCTAGTTCACTATGTATATTACATACTTCCTTCTTAAACACTTATATTATCCCTGGATTCCAGATAGCTTGAACAGATTGTTTTCTCTCTCCCCCTTCCCCCCCCCCACATTAGACATGACTGAAGTAATCTTCAGGGGTTTTTACAGTAATCATAAAGTATATTGAATAGTTACATATTCATCATCTTTGGAACCTACAGTCCCACATGGGTTTTTGAACTGAATGATTTCAGTTTTAATATTTTCTAAAACTTTTCTAAGGAAAAAGTTTCCCAAAAAATATCATCTGCTTTTTGCCCAAGCTAGGTTAATACATTCCTTTTTGTATTCAATGAAAATTGTCCAAAATCGGTCTGTTAGAAAATTTCTTTTCATATGCATGCAGTAGAAAGTTTGTCAAGGTGTGGTAGTTAAATTCCCATAAGTTTTTTTTATGCAATGATTGTACTTCACTGGCACAAAACAGGAAAGAAATATCCTGTCACAGGTAGTCAGAACACAACTGAGTTACAACGCTTTGCTATTGGTCCTAAAAGTTGTTTGCGTTGCTGAGATGCTTGAGAGTGTTCAGTGATGGCAGTCCTGTCTCTAAGGAGATGGAACTTCTTGCTCTTCTTGAGGCAAGGTGGAGAAATAAACTATTTGGCTTTGATGCAGTCGGAAATGTGCAGCATGGGGTAGGCCACTAAAGGACCTTCTGTCAAGAAACGCTGAACAAGGCAGACATGAAAATTGGACCCTAGGACGTGAGGCAGAGTAAGGCTGGGAGCGGAGGTGCTGAAGGAGGCTCAGGCCATCTGAGCACAAAATCTAGTGGGCTCAATATGAGTGGGGAAGGCAAGGTCTCAGTCTGGAACACACAGATCATATGGGGGAGGAGACAGAACTGGAAGGAAGTGGAGGGGGAACAGGAATGGCAATGTCAGGCTTGAGATGAAAAGTAGAGATCTGCATCCATAAAAGCAAAGCCCCTTCCAGAAACTCAATAGAAATCTTAAATCTTTGATTTTTATATGCTTTTTCTCTTAGCTGGTAGCTTAAGCAACTAGCAGCCATAATTTTCATGTTTTTAATCTTCTTCCATGTTCTTTTATTACATTTTTGCAGTTTGCATATTGGGGTTATGTATAATTTTACATGTATATTATTTGAAAAGATCCTCATCTCTAACTGGGTTTAAAATATCCCCGAAACCTATTGACTTTTGCATCCTTAGAGACATTACATTTGTATATTTCTTGCAAAGTAAAAATCTAAGGCATTTCTATGCTCTAATAGAACAGCATGCTGAGACATTTCTTGTAAACAGTTGGATAGCATTTGGGAATATTTAATCTCTTGCCAAAATAGACACAGTTAATTTTGATCTTGTTATCTCCTTTCATTATCAGCTGATACTTCATCCTCTACCCAGCTGTGTTTTCTGACACCAGCTAAGTATTCCACATTTTTAAAGCTGCATTAAACAAAACTTTGGGGAATAGGAAATATGCTTCTTTAACCTTCCCTACAGTTAATTTTTTTATTGTTAGAAACAACCTCAAGCAAATTCTTTCTATATATAATTAAAGGTAAGATCAATAATCATTCATCAAAAAAAATCCACACAGCAAGATTTTTTCATCCTGCTTAGTCATTGATTACCAATAAGAATATGTCCACTGTGACATCATATGCCCTCTCTCTGTCAATACTGATGTGTGGTATGTAGCAGATTTTTAGCTGGTAAGCATACACTGCAGCAAGTTTCCAAACCTTGGAAAACTGATATCAACAATTCTTGTACTTTCCTAATAATGAAACTCAGAAGACATCTTATAAATGTCTTGTTTAACATCTTAATTAATGATCTGGATGACGGGGCAGAGTTGTACGTTCCGCAG